TTTCAGCGGTGGTAAAGTTATGCTCCATTCTAAAGTTGACACAGTAATCATGTTTGAAGTGAAATTGCCTTTGTTGGATTATTAGTTATTGACATGAGGACTGATGACACATAGATTAATATCCTTTGTTATCATTTTTCTTCTTTGTCAGATAAACCAGTTGAGAACTCGCGACTATGATTAAAGACTCGACTGGAGTTCCTGCCTTTGCTTCTCTGTCCTAACAGACGAGCCTTTGTGTTGATAATAATCCTGGAACCAGACTCATTTTAGACTCTCAGTATTCCTTCAAACAATATATTCAATACAGTTTGTAAATGTATTAATTCTTCAAAGTAAATGTTAAGTATAGCTTTCAAATAAATGAAGTTGAGGAAAATGAACATTATTTGCCATGATGTGCAGTAAAGTGGATGCATAACTAAGGCTCTGATCATTTTAGCTGAGACTCTGCTGTAGTGATGCATATCCCCAAGTAGATTCAACCTTAATCAAACAACAAACAGCTGACTCGCATATGTGCCCCTTTGAGTCCCATGAAAGTCTAGGATCCCTGCTTGCTTTGCCTAATTGGAGTACATAATATCAGAGTATAAATATGCACTGTAGTTGTAGTTCAATCTGAAATCAATATAAATTGGAAATAAAGACTTTCTACAACAGTGAAAGCAGTTATAATGCAGCAGATATGAAATTAAATAATTCTTTGAAATACATGACATCTGATTTTACTTATTTTCATCATCATCAGTCAAAACTTTACAGGCTTAAAGTGTGGATAAAAAACCGCTTTGTTCTTGGTGTCTGTCCTTTCAGCATCCCCAGACTCTGTGATGGTGTAGTACCATATCTGGTTGTTGAGTCATTTATTTATAAGATGAGGCTTTACTAAAATCTGCATCATGCTGTCTCGTTCCGGTTAGTAATCTTTACTTTATTTGTAAAACTTTCCCTTCCTGGAAGAGGACGCTTGTTGTAAATAGCTCATAGCACAAAATAGTCACGCTGCAGTGATTCTTATTTCTCCAGCTCTCTTATAAATGTCTTGACTCCTTTTAAGGAGATACATGACACAAATAAAGAATCCTACTCATAGACGATCACATAGATGTTACTGTGGTTTTGATGATTTTCTTTATGTGACACCTGATGTTTATCCAAGCCACGCGGAGGGAAGACTATAGTAAGGCATTGATTGATAATTATCTCTGTTCACCGATACAAAAACATTCCTCCTCCTTTTCCATCAGAGCATTCCACAAATCTTAAGTATGTTCATCGCTGTCTTTTATCAACTTCCTCTTCTGAACTTAATCCACTCAAACAAAACTTCCCACCTTGATTAAAACTGCATGACTCATTCACAGATCTGCCTCTTGTAAAACATGCTTCAGCTCACTGGTGAGAAGTTATTAAAATTGTGGCATCTGAGGTGGCAATTTGAATTTTGCACGCCCTTTTAAAGCTCAGCGTTAACACCATAACTGACTGTGTGAAGAGGAATGTGGTTAGTGTTAACAGCTGTTATTTGTTCTCCTTCGGGAATTCTTAAAAGGAGCTGTTTGAGTAATGACGAGAGGTTAATTCCTGGGCTTGGACATTTTTAACAATGCATATTAGGCGCTTCTTATTCTGACATCATGACACGTATCGGCTTGACAGTTGTCCAAGTCTGCTGAAACCCAGGAGCTGCTGTAACTGAGGCATATCACTTTACAACAGCTTCCACCTGGTCTGAAGTTCAAGTTTGTTGAATACAAAACCAATGCAAATGAATTCTGTGCCGATACAGAGGAATTCATTCGGGCAACTACAAGGAAGAACAATTTTACCGTTCCCTGGTTAACAATAAAGATACCCTGTGGAGTGTTTGACCACGAGCAGTGCTATAAAGCAATGTTTTACATAAGTGGGCAACTATAAGCTCTATAAATGTTAAATGAGGAAGAAAATGCATTAAACACATTGTGATGATGTTAACTAAACTTTTAATACCTCCAGATCATAGTTTCTAAAAGTGCGGCACGCGGACCAACGAAATGTTTTGTGTGGCCCCTGAACTTGAAATAAAGTGCATGAATTATATTTTATTAATTTACCTTCCATTTTAATGCTTTTAGTTTTAAAACGATTACATTTAAAAGACTACTTGGCTGCGCCTAATTGCAGGGTAACGACAGCAGGCACAACCACGTTCCAGGTATAACCACTATCCATGGAAACCTGCGAGTTGAGAAAGCACAGAGGCTCTGGGAAAGATGCCATGTTAGTAACATGCATTAATAGGACATGAATGCACACAGAGGGAAAGGAGAGGAAGAGAGATCAGCTAAGTGTATCACAAGAAGTCACCCAGCAGTCAAGGCCTAAAGCAGCATATCAAGAGGCTGGTCCAAGGCAAGTCTGAGCCAGCCCTAACCAGAATTTTTTAAGAGGCCTACTTCTAAATGGGGTGAGGGTGTCTGCCCCCAAACTGAAACTGGATGTTTGTTTCACAGGAGAGGAGCTTGATAGCTGAATGCTCAGGCTCTCATTCTACTTTTGGAGACTCAAGGAACCACAAGTAACCCTTCATTCTAGAAGCGCAGTGTTCTAGTTGTAGAGTAATAGGATACTCCGAGCTCTTTAAGATATGATGGTGCCTGGCCATTTGGGGCTTTATAGTGGGGGAGAAGCATCTTAAATTGTATTCAAGGAGGCCAGTGCAGAGAAGCTAATATGGGGAGTATTATGATCTCTTTTATTAGTTATTGTCAGTACACGTCCTGCAGCATTATGGATCAACTGGAGTATAGCATGTTTAAAAGGTCAGAGTATAGTGTGTTGAAAAAGTCATCGTAAACTAGGTCGAAGAAGCCATGAAAAATATAGTCATGGAATGCTCTGTCAAAAAGTCATTGAAGTCACAATACAGTATGTGGAAAAAAGTTATTTAAGAGTCATAGTATAGTATGTAAAAAGAAAGTCATAGTATTGTGTGTGGGAAAAAGATAATTGTAAAGTAGGTTGAAGAAGCCATGAAAAATTAAAGTATGTCAAATAAAGTCATGGTATGCTCAGTCAAAAAGTCATAGAAGTCACAATATAGTATGTGGAAAACAAAACTCATAGTAAAAGAGTAATGACAAAGTCATATGTTAAAGTCGGAAAAAAGTCATGGTAAAAACTGTCAATGTCGGAAAAAATCATTGTAAATCATGTTTGAAAGAAGCCATGAAAAATTAGATTAGATTAAGTTTACATACAAATATATCATATAGTGTGTAGTAAAAAGCTTTGGAATAGTATGCGCTAAAGATGACAGAAAAAACATTTATAGTCATTTTTGAAACGACATAGTATAGTATGTAACAAATGTGACATTTGTTACATTTGTTATATGACATTTGAAATATCATATAGTCATTGTATAGTATGTCATAAAAATATAAAAAGTTACAGTACAGTATATCATAAATAAGTCATTAAAATGTCAGTCATGTCATTTATAAAGTCATGGTAAAGTATGTCATAGAAAACATCAGAATTGTATGTCAACAAAATCACAGTATAGTATGTCATCAAAAGACACTATATGCCATAAAAAAAATATTTAATGTCATCAAAATATCACGTAGAATCTTGTAATAAATCATAATATAGTATGTCATCAAAAAGTCAACATATAGTGTACCATAAAAACTTTGAGAATTCGAGAAAAGGTCAAGAATTGTCATAGTGTCATTAAAATTACAAAATAATGCAAATTAAGTTGAAGTTTCTGTAAGTTTGTGAAATCTCAGTGGTGTGAAAAAGAACTTATGAGTCGGATGTGTTTTGTGACTCTTTACACCGTCATGTATCAATAATACTTTCCTACCGAGTGACCACACACATACGGAGTTTGGGGGTAGCAGCGGTTATGTTCCTAGTTTGGATGTATACCATTATGTTGGATTATGCTGTTACGACAGGTACATGCATCAGATATTCATGGTCTTGATGCATACTCAATAAGCAGGTTTTGGTGTTATTCCTGCCCCATGGAGCTGATCCAACACATAAATACCAAACAGATGAAACACTCTCCCTTTGGCTGTTTATCGTAAATACATCTACAGGAGACAATGTCAAGTGTACCACTCGGATGTTGTGCTCTGAAATGTGGATTTAAGCAAGTTTGGATCTTTCACAGAAAATCAGGTTTCGGAAGGAAAAAATCCCAAAGGTCAGTCCAAAATGGTTTATTTTGTAAAGGGGGTAGTTGGAGATGAGAAAACATGGTGCGCTACTAAATGATATATTAAAATGTACATGACATTCAAAGGGTATTAGAGTTATCACTCAGATTTTCCACACATGAACTTAAGTCTTCATTCCAAATGACAGTGGATAAAAAAAGTTTGTATATCTTAAAAATAAAAATATGATCAACACAGTAAACCCTTGGGATGCTTAAAAGGACAAAAAGAAATAACAGTTACATGCAGAATGTAGAACGATGAGTCAATTTTCATATTTTGGAAAATAAAAAAACAAGGTGAATGCCTCACACAAATTTAGAGAAAAATTTAGGGTGAATTCTTCAGCTGTTTCGTCTTCACATCATTAACTCACATTAGCAGAAACTGCATTGTTTCAGTCTTTTATTCTGTATAATATAGGTCAATAGGAAATATAAGAAACTATTAATGACAACTTGAGTGGTCTTGGCTAGCCATTACAAACAGCACATATATGTGTTGAGATGCCTGATGAAAATGATCCAAAATAAATTACATTTGCCAAAACCTAACGCACACACTGGTTGGGATGGGAGGGATGAGAGGGGGGGGGGGGGGGGGGGGG